CAACTTATCGGGGGAAATGGACACTTGAACATACATTAGCGTGGTAATGAACTGATGACAACACAAGATAAAAACAATTAAATAATCAAGTCAAATGAAATAAATAAATAAATAAATAAAATTAAATTAAATTAGAAAAAATAAATTGATTAAAATGAGACATATACGGAATTAAAAAAGTGTGCTGAAATAAATAAAATCCTTAAAATAAAAAGGGGAAGCACAGTTTGTCCCACAGCAGGTTGGAGATGTGACACTTTTTGACGGTCCCTTGCCATAAATGACAATATACTGTAACTCTGCCTGACGGAATTGTCAGACGGTCCCTAACTCGGTCAGGCTGAGTAGTTGATGCTGGATCTCGGAGCAGCAGCAGACTGCCAGTCCGTCGCTGCAGTCCGACAGAGCGGCCAGTCATCAACATCCTCTCAGCGTCCGCGGAGCTCCCAACGCTATGTTGGCTCTGAGCTGACGGTTAACGGCTCAACCGGAGCAGGCTACGACGGTGTGGACATACGTGGACATGAGGACACCCGCCACAGCGACTTCTTCTTCCAAAACCGGGACCGGGAATCCTGACTGGCATCGATTTTCACCGAGCAAATGAGAAAAGGTGGTGATGCAGCACAGCGGCGTCCACACAAGAGACCGCCTCTGTCAGTCCGTAGCCAGCTAGCTAGCGTTAGCAGCCTAGCCTGGTAGCTAGCACCTATATACAGGCTATCACCAAAGCTCAGGCTTTACCACTAGCTAAAATGGCAGCAAGCCCAAACACGTATGTGGGGATACTTTTATTTTTTACCCATTTTTATTCCTCCGCGTTGCCTGTCAGTTTATTCCCAACTGTTCGTGTTTTATGCTAGCAAACGTTAGCTGGATAAGTTAGCCGCTCGTTAGCTACATAGCATTTTGTATTGGCTAATCACCTCACACAGACTGGCACTGTGAGAATGAACTTGGTATTCTGTGTGGAGACGCCGTAGCTCCATACAGACCCGATGGAAAACTACTGGATTAAAATAAATAGGCTCCGATGTGCAAGTATGTTAACATTAGCCGTCTCTACCCTTCAGGCGTTAATATATTAATGTTTAAAGGGGCTAATCGCCTAATTTCCACCCATCCATCCTTCACATTAACACTTATAGCAGTTGCCGTGCGTCCTGTTTCTGCATCTGCGGCCACGGGGGAATAAAGCCTGCGCCTTTTGAAATACAGCCACATGGGTATTTGCTGTAAGGACTGGAGTTAAGGATGTAAGACAGCACAGGGTACGTGCATGCAGTGTGTTTAGCTTGCATGTCCTGCCCCCCTTCGCAAAGGGCTGCCACACAACTGTGAATTGTCATTCCGGTCGACTCCGGTGGATACGAATGGGAAGCGGATTTGTGATGTTGTTCTTCATTTCCATCATTCTTCGCCGTTTTATCACCATATACATTATGTCTGACAGCAAGCTGTATAGCACTGCAATGCCTTAATAAAAAGGTGTAATAGAAAGCTGGGCTCATTCTTCAGGGATGCCAGTGTGCGCAGTTGAAGTGGAGGCAGGTGTTTGGTGATGGTCTCACAGATATTGCACGGTCTCTTGATACCTTAAGCCTTTGGAAAATATGTTTGTCATGTTCCTCATGGCCAAAGGATTAAGTGTTTTGTGTGTGTGTGTGCGAGAGAGAGAGAGAGAGAGAGAGAGAGAGAGAGATTCTAAGGTATTTATTTTTGACATGACATGTTATTAAATTCACCCACAGCATACAAAATGATTGTTTATTACTGTAATATTTCAGCTTTCACTTGATTTAAGACATATTCCTGATTTGCCACCACATGTTTGATCGTAATTCAGCACTGGTAGCCTGTCAGAGTGCAGGGTGAGACGATGCTCGGGGTTACAAGGGACATGCTGCTGAGGTGAAGAGATGACAACTAAAGGAAAGCATATGAAGGGTGTGAGCTCTCACAGAATCCTGACTGTGTCGAGGCAGCGTGGTTAAAATGAAGGGAGGAAAAGATCTGTTTTTATCTAAAATGGTGGCAAGTCTTTGGTAACTATGCTGTGGTTGGGTTTCTACCACTGTCCACTAACTCTTTGCCTGCTTTTTTTCCCAGAATCGTCATGACTGTTTTCCTGCTGACCAGTCACTCCTTCACTGAGGGACCTCGGCCCATTTCGGTTTCTGGACTTATCACTTCAGGGATGAGATAATAAAGTCAACCAGCTTGTGCATGCTGCTACAACAACACCTGTGGCACCTGTGAACCCACCCCACACCCTGCCCTCCCCCTAACCCCTCCCCGAGCTACGTTCAAGTCAACAGTCAAAACATGACGACGCCGGCTCTGCTGCCGCTGTCAGGCCGCAGGATACCCACTCTGTCGCCGGGCGCCTCCTCTTTCCCGCACCACAGGGCTACGTTGAGGCTCTCTGAGAAGTTCATCCTCCTCCTCATTCTCAGTGCCTTCATCACTTTATGCTTCGGGGCCTTCTTCTTCCTCCCGGACAATTCCAAGCACAAGCGCTTTGACCTGGGCTTGGAGGATGTGCTCATCCCTCATATTGACTCACCCAAAGAGGGGAAGCACGCCTCTGGACAGGTGGTCATACATGGACAGGGAGGACATGATGAGCACAGACACAGGTGAGGACCAAGTTTTTTTGTTTTTTTTTTATATCAGACGTGTGACACAAACTGCCCTGTCACATCTGGTGTAGCAGGTGTACTAACACTCATCACTTCCTTAGCAGTCTGTTGTGACACCTAGGGGTGTTGCAGAGTTTGTAAAGTGATCTACACTCTCCTGAATGTTTAGATACACGTCAGTACAGGTGTTCCTTCCTCCTTTTTTTATCCCTTTGTGCAGCTGCAGTTGCTCATAATACTCTCAGCCTTTGTGTAATTCTTTAAGTTCTTGTACAACAGAATTTTTTATCACCTTGGCTGCAGTATTCTGGTATTGTCCCACGGGCAGACGTGGTTGAACTTGATGAGCTAGAACACACAGACTGTTTGAAAAGCTTTAGTAACTGCTTAAACAGGCTCGGAAATTACTGCCCGCCACGAGCCAAACGCTGGTATGATTTTGGCTGCAGCTTTTACATTTGTCGTTCGGTTTGCCCAGCCTCTTTGGCTGGTTGCCAGCTGTCGCTCTGAGGCTCTTTCCCCTCCTTCCTAAATCAAATTCATATTTGGCTACTCTAAGTGTCTTGTGCTGTTTGGAATCCTCTGTGCTGGACACGTTTTATGCCCCTGCTACCAAATGTTATTCTCAACTGACTGAAGTTACTTTAAAGTGGGATTTTATCATATTTACATTTCAATTAATTTTTAATTACTCACTGTAAGCCAGTAAATTAGCTCTTGGGGCTGTTTTGTAATGTAAAAGCCACATAGCTTTAATTTTTGGGATGATCTAACAAAATGGTTACTTCATGTTTGGGACTCATGAAGAGTATTTTTGATTTAATTGTTGTTTCTTGACTGTCAGGTTGAACTAATTAATATTTAAAGGTATACTTTGCATGATTGTCAGTTACAGCTTGTGAATCCGCTTGCCAGTTGGTGTTTGGCCTCACTATATTTCCGTTGTTTTCGGTGCTGTGTCTCTTGGTTGCCTGCTGCTTACGGTCCTCACCTCACCTGAGCACTAGGGTTACGCACCTATAAATGTCCCAAGCACAGAAACTAAGAAAATACAGGCAGTGCGCAGAGTCTTTGTAAACACATACACTGCCACACACTAAGTGATTACGTTTGTATAAGTGCATACATTGTTTTTTAAGGAAATTCTTGCATAGTATATCTTTAACATTTAGCAGTTTTTGGCATTTTATGATTAACTGAATGTCAGGCTCTGTGGGTGTTCAGAACAGAGCACTACCTACACACTGAAGAATTGAAATAACAGTATAGTTTTTTTCTGTCTAATTACATATGCAGTGTCATTTGATTGGCAGGACTCATGCATATATGAATTACACTGCACTGGAATGTATGTGTATTATTTTGTGATGAAAAACTACTTAAATAAAATGCACAAAATGCCAAACAGTAGGTGGAAAGTGTAATTTTATTGGAACGATCTGCTCCATGCTGGTGTAGGAGGTCATTAGTTTTACTGAGTGCTGGGCAAGGTGTTAAAAGCAATTTCTCAGTTTCACAGTGGGTACCACTGAGTGTTACCTCCTCGTCCCCTGTGGTGCCGCCATTTTTCCATCCTGAAAGCCTTCTAGAGCTTGGGATTCTGCCTGCTTGAAATAACATAATTATTTTAGTCCAGGGACTCGGAAGGAGCAGACAGTATTGGGCTCAAGTGGTGCTGTGAGTCATAGTCGGAACCACAAGGGTTTCTTTGAAGCGTAAAGGTGGGAGGCTTGGAGATGTTCATGTTTCTCCAGAGGTGGCAGTTTATAGCAGGGATGAGAAGGGACTTGGTGTTTGATGCTGAAATTTGTCACACGATCCCTCTCTGTTTTGAGTAAACCCCTCTAGGGATGCATAGATTGTGAAATATTGGGTCAATATTGCTGTACAAAATGACAGTTTGACTGATGACCTATATCGATACTGATGTTTTTTTGTTGTTGTCATTTACTTTGTTTTTGTTGATAGGTATATTCCTCTTTTTATGCCAGGGAAACAAAGATAACTTTATTATAAAAATATAACTGAACTGTGATGTGACTCAGGTCTTCATTACACCAAAAAAACAAACCTTCAGTATAACCTTTCACATTAAAAACAACTTTAAAACCCCATAATATTATGATATATATAGACACCATAATATCCTCTTTAATGTGTGTTTTATTTTGCTGTAAAACATGAACAAAATTCTTTTTTCTCACCAAAAACTAAATTTTACAAGATTATATATGAACATGTCATATTGTAATAATTTACCTTTGCTCAATACTCACTTTTAGCTTTAGCTCAAATACATCATAATGTAACTCAGCGCAACCTCCACTAGCTGTTAGTTCCAGACACTCGCTGCTAACAGCTAATGCTAACTAGCTCTCCTTCCGCCAATGTTGGATGGATGGATTTGTTGCTCACAGTGTAGGAAGGGCTGTCACCTTCTGGTCGGTTGGTTGATTGGTTGGTCAGAATGCTCTTGTCTTACTTGTATTTGTCCTCTGTGACTATTGGTCTTTGCTGTGTTTGTCCCACACCTTCTCTACTGTGACTGGGTGGCTGGTGACAGTGAAGAGGGCAGCGTTTCACCCAAAGTTGAACATGTTTCAGTTCTTAATTTATTATTATATTATTATTATTTATTATTATAATTTATTTTAAATCAGAAAATGGATAAATAATGGCAGAAGACATTCAGTGTTGGAGTCTCCAAAAAGTGACTGCAGTTCAAGCCTGGATTATAAATCTTCTGAAAGGACTACAGTCACACTTGAGCCCACGTTGGAGCGGCAGGATGGCTGACGTTAGCCTCTGGGCTAAAAATGATAAGTCTCTCTCTCAGATGCAGCGCTACAGAGATATTCAATATTAGTATCGTTATGTTGTATATGACATGGTCAACCCCAGAGTTAACTTCTATAGTGTCCAGCTTTTCAGATTTTTCTCATCAGTCCTGTTCAATGTTTAATGGTGAGACCGACGTGCACTCGCAGCTCAGGTGCAAAAGCATCACAGTATGCAGGTTATTTTTGGATAATATTACAGTAGAGATCACATTTATTCTTCATTAGAGACATTCCGTTTAAATGTATAGAGTTTACTTGCCCTGGGCAGGCGTTAATGTCGAGCCCTGTGACAGGAAAAAAGTGCTTTGGTAGACATTCATTGGTGGGCATTGCACTGTGGTGATTTAGTTCATCTAGAGATAACATGCAGATTTTTTTCCCCCATTGGCCAATCGATTGGTTAAAGAGGCGACCAAGATTTTCTTTGGTTGACTGCAGCCCTAGTCTCGCGCCCCGACAGCATCCCGGGGAAGAGCTTTGATTGTTCCAGTCACGTTTTTGATGACCCTGGTACCCCAAGCCATCGTCAGTCCTGAGCCCTCCTTTTTAGCCTGCGCAAAATTGATGTGACACAACAGAAAAACCACCTTACGCCAACCTATTTGCCGATAGGCTGATGGCAGTCAACAAGGTGAAATTTAGCCTTCAAAATAAATTGATATGGCTTTATTAAAATGGCATAATTTTGTAAATTCATTAGTATGGTCATTGAGTTCAGATATTAAGAATGCAACCACACACGACAAACATCTCTGCACATATCGATTGAATTTCAGAGCTGTGGTCCAAAGTGGCTTGTTAAAGTGAGATAAAAGCAGAAGCCACTGAGCTGTCCCCGGGATGACAATTTAAGGGTTTGAGGAACAAGAATAATACCATTGAGATCTCTTTAAATTAGTTTTATGCAAATTCAGTCTCCAAATGCTCCCTGTGCATTTAACCTTACATAAGCATTCATGTGATGCGATATGTTTTTATTTTTTCTCACTGCTTATAGCGGCTTATGGAAATGTGTTCAATTTGCTCTTTGGTACGGCTGCCTCAGCTGTTCTTAAAGTCATCATTGTGAGCTCCAGAGGACCAGGGTTCAAACGGCCCCCGGAAAATGAGGCGCGCTAGCATTTAAAGAGACCCTCAGGAGCTCAGACAGGCTCGTAATAATTTCACCTTTACTTTATTTGGCCACAAAAAACCCCACAGAACCAGTTCTCTGTTCACAGGTTCATCCTGTTAATAGTCTTATGAAAGCTTTGAGAGAGCAAAGGTTATTATTCTATTTGCCATGAGGTAATCCATCTATTTTAGTTAATTCTTCAGATATTGACAGCAATCCAAAACGCCTGAGAATATGGTTAAATGGCATTGCACACATTCTGGCTCGCACTCTTCTGCAGTACAGTACTTTATTTCCATTTGTGTCTTTTTTATTATTGTGTCTGTTTGTGAACTAGTTGCGTTTGCTTTGCTGTTTACTCTTGCTGAGACAAAGTTTAGTGTTGTGTCCTTAACATGAGCAGCACAAGGACCCATAGCTCAGGCAGAGTCATGCCATGTCCTAAGTCCTTAGATTCCTTAATTTCTTAGGCTTGTCGCAGTAACTACTTTTGATGAGTGATATATTGTCCTAGATATAATTGTGATAAATAATATTATTGTAATTTTGAGACCATTTATGCCACTGATGTAATGATAATATGACAGTATAATAATGAAAGTACATCCTTTCAAAGAGCAATAAACTTTTAATTCTCAAGAATATGCAGACATTGGATTGAAAGTATTTAACATATATTTGAATAAGTAATTATGTACAAGAAAGTAGACATAACATTATAATACAATACCGCAGTTACTGTGTTGTAGTGGGAGCCGGGCAGTTGGCTGGTGGGGTTAAGGGAAATAATTGATTCTTAGATGTATCGTGATGCAGACGTGGACGATGTGGCATCGATTCACAAATGTCAACGATTGATTATCTAAATGTCTGTTAATAATGTGATGTTGATTGAATGAAAGAGGTGGAGCTCAACCGTTGGGGCAGTGCAGCGCCAGACAGTCTACAGTGCGGACATGCTATATTTAACTTACATCACAATACATCTCTGGTTGCAAGCTTGTTTTAATTTAATGTTTAAATAATTACATTTGCAAGGCAAA